AATCAAAATCACTGTCAGTTTAATAACGCAATGTGAATTTGAAAAGTTTATCAGATCTACAGATGCACCCGCACTAAGAGAAAAATGTCGAATTCGAAGTGCATATGTGCATCCCAAGCCTCAGGCCTCAGACGCGAAGAGGCCGGAGTGGGAGCCCTCCCTCCCATAAAAAGTTATCACTTCAAAAATATAGTTGGTGTTCTCATTTGAAAAAAAACTTAAATTTATTTCTATCATTATTTTCTGAATTGACATAGGTTTTGCGAGGCAAGGCACACCTTCCTTCTTCATGTACGAATGTTTCTTACCTATTTAGTGCGTTTTAATTCGCGTTGTTTTTGCATACATATAGCGGCAGTTGCGTATTGGGAATGTTTAGATTATATTTTATTTAAATTGCTTGTTAGTACACGATTCAAGTATAAGCTTACCATAAATTGTTAAAATAGCGACAGAACTTTCCCGAAGCCCTGCTGTATTTCTGGCCACGCATTGATACCTTCCGTCATCGGCTGGTTTAGCATCGGTAATAGCCAAGTTCATACCATCCACCAGTTTCAATCTCGCTCCCAGCTCCAAAGTTTGTCCGTCTTTTCTCCAAAACACCTGCGGCTCTGGGGTGCCTCGTGGTGGAGAACATTCCATGATAAAATCTTCGCCAGCTGCAACTCTTCCATTTTGAGGTTCCAGTCGAAACTCATCTCGAATAACTGTAAAAGAAATGATCATTTCATTTACTATTGCATTACAAGTAGAATTTAAGGTCCACTTGGAAACGATTGCATAATTGCCAATAAAGTGGACATCTTTACATTTTCAAAGAACACTTTAAAAATGCATTCGTCGAAGATGCAGTTGGCACAAAAATTAAATGACGACAATTCAGTCGGAGGAATCCAGTTCTCAAAAGTAAAAAGAAGAATAGTCTGCAAAGAAATTTCTTTAAAGTTAAAGATGATTTTTAATAAGTTCAAGATTCGTCGGCGAGTGAACGAGTTAGTTTCTTAAAGGAACATCACACACAACATTAACCAATGGTAAACATTCAGGTTCATATTATCAGAAACCGAATACGCCATTCAAAAACTATATCGATTGATGTAATCGATATCTGTAATAACAATTATATTTTTAATGAATAACATAAAATACATAAAGACTTGTTTATTATTTTAGCTACAGGCTATGTATTTTATGGACTTGGTTGCTTCTGAAAAATGCACATAGATGTTGACAAAGTTGTCGCTTACAAAAACAAGCAAAAAATGAGCTACATCAAATAGGAATTGCCTCATTATTTACCAACCCTTAAAAATATTGCGTCCATAAAAAAGAAAGTATATCTATAACGGCCCATATGTTATTTCCTTAGCTCGATATTTCCCAGCTTTGCCTCTATTCTTTTATCACATTTAACACTCAGTTTGTTGTGTTTTATGGTGATCATTTATAGAGTGGAAGAAGTCGCTTTGAAACTTTTCTGGAAGTAGCTTAGATGTTATATCTAGTTGTTCTCTTGTCTCTCGCATATAAACTGCTGGTTTATGTGTCTTGGCGCACAACAACAATTCTCACATACTTATTTAATTCAGAAATTTAAATGAAATGGCATGCGTATACTGTGTTAAACGAAATTAAATACAAGAAAGAATAATATGCAAATCTGTTAATTTTTGCTAAACTGCTTTAGGTTGAAAGGTTTCCGTTTTCTTCATGAACATTGCTAAATATACTGCACCGTCTTTAAAAACGATGTATTAAGACATTCATATATGTAGTTGTATAAAATGAAAATAAAATGAAATGTCTAAACTAGGCTACACGGAATCAAACACAACAAAGAGAAATGGACAAACGTATTAATTTTGGTTAAAAAAAGACTTGGGTTAAAAGGTTTATATTTTCTTCTTGAACACTGCTAAATAAACTGTACATGGCTAAAAACTGGGAATTAAAAAACTCGAATAGTTTGAAGCAATTTTCAACTGATATTCTCCTTTAAAGCTGTATAATCTAATGTGCCGAAGGCATTGGCCAGATTAGTTCAACGACGTCACTCGTATTCCAATTATCGAAAGTTTCCGGCTAATTGAAACCAAACACCAACTGAAATTTATTTCCCTTGAGCTCACTTTATTTTGGAGTCAATGATGTATATCAGGGCCTTATTAGTAGGTGTAACACACTTTGCCATAATTAATGTTTTGTCAGGCTTTATTGGGATTGTGCAGAACTGTAGAGCGTGTATATGTTACATCCAATACTAATACAAAATACGACCTAGCATTTTCATCGATTATTCGCGCTATAAAATAGAACTGTATTGCCATAGAAAATTGAAACTCCCTGAATCAAGAGAACTGATTGAAGTTCATTTGAGTGATATTTTGCATCGAATTAATGGAAAACTGCGATGCAAAATCAAAGCTTCACTAAAAGTAGTTTTGATTCAAAATCTTTAAATTATGAACGCCACAAAATTGCAATCCCTGTCATGGGTGCTGAAAAACCAAATCCATATCGTCTCAATTTAAAAGCCATTTACTATTTTAATTAAAAACGATGCCGTAAATTGAATCCCTATAAAATATCCCTTGTTAATGAGGAAAAGGAAATTATCTTCGCTTTTCCATCGTTCCGCACTTCCCTAATCTACAAGTGTAATGCCTTCACTGATTATCAATTAGTATCTCAGGAATTTAATTGCAGGAGCAAAATATAGTGAGGCAAGATGGCGTGCGTGGTTCTATTTGAAACGAACCAAGCGAGTTTGAATTTTGTCCAAGTCGCTTGGGATTTAGTAAATGAACTCCACTATACAGAGTGATTTATATAGACCGTGCATTAGGAGTTTTCCGACTTACAGTTCTTGTAGAAACTTCAACCTGTATACTGAGATATTCTCTGGTGCAAAAGAAGGCGATCTTGCCAAACTTTTATTAAGGAAAAGTGCCCTTCTATTGATGGTAAAATTGCTTAAAAAGTTATGTTTTTTGGAATATCGGGAGAAAAATACGATGGATTGGATGACACCCTGTATATTTTTTGAGAACATCGTTCTAAATAGAGAAGGTAAGTAACATAATCGATTTAGTTAAAATAATGTATTTAAAAAGTGGTCTGGAAAACAAATTGAAAACCGTCTTAGAGTTCAACACTCTCCCCTAAAATCGTCAAAAAAAACCTGAAATAATCAGAATTGTTCAAAAATGTACCACATTCCAGAAGATTTTCGTTTTCAGTGGGCATAAAATGCCTATTGCGCGCCTGATCGGAGTTGCTCCAGTCAAGCTAAAAAACAGTATTAATCCCTAACATTACTCCTCTCAATTAATACTACAAAATGAATTAACATTTCATTTATAACAAAATCTTTTGGTTTTAAGGCAAAATATACACAACTGCAATTATCTAGATGTTTTGTCAAAAATGTCCAGAGTTGCCTGATTTAAAGCGTTTAGTGGAAATAGAAAAATAAAATTCAACATTTTTATGACATTATTGTAAGCACATTTTTTTTTCTACAAACTAAAATAGAACCCAAATGCCAGCGATCCAGAAAACTGGAGCTCAAGTTTCCATTTTAGTGTGTAGTCCATTAGTGATATTAAATACTAGTCTACTTGCGAGATAAATAAAAAAAAAATAATATGAAATGATCGAAAATTTGAAGAAGATTTTGCTCCATACAATAAGATATTCAAATTTTCGAAATCAAATTATGCCAGGTAGTATTTGTACATGAAATTGGCAAAGCACTCCATAAACCATATCATATACAGACAGCGTCCGCTTAAACATTAATATGCGTAACCAAAATTGGATTATTTACTTAGGGTAAATTCACTTGTGTATGGCGCAATATGGTTATAACAAGAGTGGCTGTCTCGTCCATACCATTTATACAAGATCAGTGATTGATGCAGCCATCAACTACTATGGTCGTTCTACACGAGCTAATTTGATTGGATTTCAAATTTTAGAGCTGAGGCATGCGGCAGTAGAGTGGAGTTCGGCTCAAATTATTTACAGTTTTTTATTACTGAATCTCGATCTTTCAGCTTCTTATAGACTCCACTGTGCCAGTTTCTTTTTTGTCGCTTTTTTATGTTCCATTCCAATCATTCATATGCAACTCCTGGTGTACATTGAGCATGTAAATTAATTTATTTAGGATTATTAAAAAAAATGTAATTAGATTCATATCAATTCAGAGGCATACACACTTTTTAAAACACATTTTGTCTCTTTTTGACAATTCATCTCTCAATCTGCTTCATTAAAATTCAGAAAAATTTACCTTTAAACTACAGAAAATATACTATTCCACAAACGCAACAAATTGCCGAAGCTGCCTAAATCATGTTTCCTCTGAGTCCACGATAACAAACGAGCTCCGTTAATGACTTAACAAGAAAATCCTAATCGACAATTTTCTTTGAACGATACAGGTAACAAAAAAAGATTGATAGCCCATCGAAAGGTAATCTACACCCTTCCAACTTTAAATTGTTTTTATTTGTAACGGAAAATTGATAATCCGTTTCCGGGTTTTTTATCCTCTTCTTATATTTGTTACATCAGAGCGATAAGAAAATTTTGCGCATATGGCCACTATTGTTCATTTTTCTTTTCCGGGACTCTATTTCAGGGTTCCGGGATTCCTTGTTTCTTTTTCATTTTCGTGCTTCCACCTCGCGTGTCAGCTCGTAATTCGTGTGAATTCGGCCAGAAGTTCTGAAGAAAAATGGTGTTTTAGGGATCTGCAAATGATTTTGTAAATGCTTCTTTGTTTCAGGCAGATGGGGATTTATGATTTATAATTAAGAGGTTTGGAAAATTGTTGAACGTTCAAGTTAGTTCTTAAATAGAATTTAGGCAAAATACAACAATTGTAAATCATTCGATTTGAAACTACTAGCACTAGTAAAATCAGATCGAAAAATGTACACCTAGTTAACACCAAAAATCTTCTTCAGACACGTTTATCGGGCTAATTCAGCTTTTTTACAATATTAAAAATATTATTAACTAAACTCGAAACAAGATAAGAACATGCATAAATCGTAAATCCATGCTTTGTACAATAAAGGGTCCTTTTAGCGCATATTTTGTTCATGAAAACTTCTGCATGGTCTAAAACTGCAATCAAATGGGGAAATGCAGTTATCAAATGTTTAATGTTTTCGGGCTGATACGAGTTTTGTACCAAAAAATATAATTTTTACCCAAGATTAAAGTACCTTTCTGTTCGACTATATTGAAAATTGTTATCAGGAAAAGAAGATCCAAAGTAAAAACCACATTTAAACATTAAATTACATCCATTTGTAATGAATAATACGTTTTTTCTTTTTACTAGTAGTAACAAACTAGTATATCTACACTAACAATAGAAATTGTAGTACAACTATAGGAGATGAAATCTAGGTTGCTCTGATATACCATAATAATTAAATTAAACCAATTTCTAATAAAATAATTCATAAATAATCACGAGTGTAGGAAAATTAGTAAAAAACAGCAAAACTATTTTTTTTATTGAAAAAAGGCATATTTACATATTCGAACGCGGTTTTTAGATCTGATTAAATTACTTAATAACAATTTTCGATGTTGTCTTAAATAAAGGTAGTTTACTAAATTTGTATGTTTTGACAAACCTTATACGAGTATACGCCTGAAAAGTCTTAGTTTTTAGACTATACAG